ATTCCTCCAAAATAAGTCAGTTTCCACCTAAGACAATGAAGACAGACAAGGATAAGAGAAAGGTCGACAGCTGGGGCTTTCCATCCTTCAAGGACTTATTCCTGAGGACTGAACAGCACTATCAACTAATTTCAAAAACATTTCAGCTGATGGTACCCAGCAAAAAGGTGAAAGGGGGACCAAGGCAGAACTTTGGTAGGACTTATTAAGACAAGTGACAATCCAAAAGAGGTGTAAGAAGGGCTGGGGATTTAGCTCAGTGGTGCTGCTGCTTGCCTTGTCACAAGGACCTGAGTTCAGTCCCTGGTACCAAAAAAAGAAAAACAAGAGGTATAAGAATGCTTCCACCCACCACTCCACACAGACATTTTTCTGCTACAGACAGCTCTAAGGCTGATGACTGCCCCTAGAAACTAATCTAGCCCTGTGATGTTTCTAAAATTAACCCTAGGTATCTGAGGTAGAAGTACTTAGTCTCTTTGCTACACTCCAAGAGAAGAAACATCATTGTGGCTGGTGTTTTCAGTATATGTTTATTATTACTTTAAATGACATTCAAGTTTATTTCAAGTTCAACAGTGGTCTTCTTCCCACATAAATACTCCCGAAGGCAAATACTTGAGTTTGCGCACACACACACACACATACACACACACCACACAAAGTCCTGGCCCCTTGGGCTTTTCTCCTGCCTTCAGAAAGGGACAGAGCAGCAGGTCACTGGGGCCAGTGTGGAGAGGGGTGGGGAATGCAGGGTCACTGTGGGGCAGACAGTCATGGGTACCCAGAGAAGTTTGGGGGCGGGGCTGGCGCAGCTGGTCTGTCCCCAAGGCGAGGAGGTGGCCACCAGCCCACCCCTCGAGCCCAGGACGTAGTCCGGGCGGGGTGGGTGGGGGGATACCGCGGGGTCACCCTCTGTGAGCCCCCAGCCCGTGTACCCCGCGTCTTCTCTGCTGGCCGTTTGTGGTCAGCTCCCAGCTGGCCCAGACTTGCTCTGAAGTAGGAGGAACCGCTGTCTAACGGAAAGTGCACACCGGGTGATTGATGAACTCTTAATAGGACTAACCTCTCCCGCCCCCCACCCTAGACGCTCGCACACAGCCGTCTTCTGTCCTGGCCCCCACCGGGCCCCCTCCCAGCCAGGCAGGACGCAGCCGCAGCCGGGCGGGTGAGGAACTCACCTTGGCTCAAGTGGCCCAGGGGAGTGCGGAGCCCCAGCAGCCGGCCCTGCGGGGCTCGTGTCACGTGGCCCTGCAGGCATTGTGCCGCGCTCCGCGCCGCCAGGCTGCCGGCGGCTATTGTTTCTGCAGGGCTGGGACACTGGCCTCGGGGTCCTCACCAGCTCCTCCTTGCAAACAGACCAAAGACAGGTTCTGGCTTTCTTTGTGCGTTCTCTGCCTCACAGGCTGAGGACAGAGGATAGCGTCGTCACTGTCCCAAGGCGTAGCAAACCGGAGCGAGGGACTCTGGTGCGGCTCACTGGACCCACTTCCCCACTGGGCCCTGCAGAGGAGGTGGGGAAGGGCAGCGCTGTGAACAATGGAGCCATCTTCGAAAGGCTGCCTCCAGGCTCAAGGCTAGGAGGCGCTTCTCCCTAAAGGAAAGGTCCTTGGCCTGATTTTAAGCCATGCTTTTCAGGTTAAAACACTTCCTCCACACCAGAACTCTCCTTAAACCTTGATTTAAATTAGGATGGCCTCCTCCTCCTCTGACTTGTATTAATGTTAAAACCCCACTTTGCTATTTTCTAGGTCTTACACTTCCATAGAAATGCTTGAGACTGCCTATAGAAATCAGTCAAGATATTTTGCCAAGCACAAGGGGTAGTGGCTCAGGCCCCTCAGCCCAACTCTAGGGAAGGCGAGGATTGCTAGTTTGAGGCCAGCCCAGGCTACATAGTTAAGGGCCAGTCTGAACTACACAGCAAGACTTTTTAACATACCCCCCCAAAAAAGTATTTTGCCATATGCTTTATAAGTACTTTGTTGGGTATCTTAGTATGAACCAGGTTCTGGGTTCACTCTCCAAACAAACAAAACTCATTTTGTCACAAGATCTAGGACAAGAAGATACACGCAATAGTTCCTACCTTCCACATCTCCTGGAGACACTTCATCTGCCTCTGCTATTGCAAATGACTGGATAGTCACCTGCCTTGGCTCTTCCATTGTGTGAGGAAATCTTTTGCTCACTTTGCTTCACACTGGACTGGCCTAAAAAGTTTTTGTATTTTCTAACTTACCAAGGTGAGAATGAAGCGTGAGGAACATGTTTAAGAATGGGTTTCAAGCCAAATATATTTAGTATGTTCGTTTGACACCAACATTGGACCATTTGTAGCTGGAGTAGAAAACAAGGGAACAATGAGAATGAAGGTTTCATCCCATGACAATCTTTTCCATTCACCATCTACCAATGGACTGCATTCACCAATGCAGTAATTGCTGAATATTCCCTTTTTCTCTCCACCTGGGCCTTTTGCAAGAGATGTACAAGAGCCAGCCCTCAAATGTTTAAGAGCTTGGCTATGAACAACTTCCTAAATGTCCCAGAGCATCCAAGAGTAGGCCTACTCACCAAGTCCTTAAATATACTCTCTGTGAAGTCCAACTGCCCAGGAGTGATGAGGCTATAAGCTTGTGGGGATTGGGGCCTTCTGCCTCTCTCTTGCCTACTCACAAAGTTTTGTCCTATTTTTTTCTTTCAGTTTCTGAAAGACTCTAATGCCAAGAACTTCCAGATGAAGAAGACCTCCCTAGACCTATAACTGGGATTAGCTACTTCTTGAACTGCAAGAGGAAGTTACAGCTAATTCTCAGGATAAAAGTCAAAAACCTGTGACTGACTGTTCCTTGAATACTGAAGGTGTAAACAGCCCTCTGGCTTCCCCAGGTCAAGCACAGGAGCCCTTGTTCTTAGAAGGAAGAGTTACTTCTTTGTTATTCAAACATACACCCACACGCACACCTCCTCTTCACCCTCCCTAATGAAAAACCTCAACAGATGGAGAGCCTGGACTCCAAGGCCTGCTGGCTGGGAAGGGCCAGCTAGCTGGTGCAGATGGTGGGGAAGAACCAAGAAGTAGCTTGTATAGGTAATCACTCTTTTAATAGTTCTTACGGATAGAATTCTAAACATCTTGTTCAGCAAGGTGAGCAGCCTCTGGGGACTGGGAAACCAATTTGGCTGATGTGTCTTTGATAGGGACTGGGCTCGGGACTGCACCAAAGGGAATGTACTTTCTGTGTATTATCTTCCCCTCTCTCATTTGAAAGGGTGTACAAAGAAATGGTACAAATGGATGGTTAGCTTAATGATTCTGTTGGAGGTGGATATTTCTCGGTCAGGTCCTGCAATGAGGCTGAAGTCTGCAAAGCAGAAGGCAGAATATGTAGTTAATTGCCCTCTCTTACATCCATACCAGTGGCAGGACTACTCTTCCAGGCGGGTTCCTTAGCAGTTTCTGCATCTTCATTGGTTAGCTCCATTCTAGGCCCTCTACTCCAGACTGGATCCCGAGTTTTTCCTGGTTGCAAGGAACATTCTCCTGCTTAAATTATTCCTCACCCCAACTCTTGCACGGCAGGCTATTCCACCCTGCTTTAATTCATATGTTATTGCTTGGACAGGACCAACCAGGATGCCAGGTGGCAGCCACTGCCTCACCCATGGGCCTAGGCTCTCAGCCCTGACCCCTTCAGATCTCAAGAGACCCCCTAACCACCTTGACACGCCATACACTCACCCCCTCAACGCTGTCATCCTATACATACCCCTCAATGCTGTCACCCTTGGGGGAAAAAACTGGCCAAAGGTATGAGCTTAAGAGCCATTTCCTCTCTTAGGCAACCAAGATAGGTCTCCCAGACCAAAACCCCAGCAAGCTAGAGAGGCCAGCCTCTTCCTGCTTCTGGGCACCAGCCTGTGCTGCCTACATATGGCCTCCTCTGCTGTAGAGCACATGGGGAAACCGTGTGCACAATGGCATGAATGCTCCGGGCTTCTGGCTGCCCTGGGGACCCTCAAGGAAGCATGGGGCAGGGAGGCCCCGAGCAACTTTGAGGCCTTGGTCATCCCCTCCACCACCCAGCACTTGAGAGGCAGGAGCTAGGGTGGAGATTTCCTTACCTCCTCGGGTACTGCTGCAGATCCTCCCCAAGAGGAGAGGCTGAGGCCCAGGGCGCCATTGGCAGCCAGTTCCCCCTCCCCCACTCTCCTTTCTCTGCTTCTCTGAGACCCGGGAGGGAGGAGGCAGGCGCCTCTGCAGATAGAGCAGCTATTGTGACCTTCCCTCGAAGAGCGGGAACCCAGCCGAGTGTGTACCGCCGGTGGTGACGGGGGAGGAGGCGACTGTGTGCAAACCTTGGCTTCCGAGGGGGTGGCACTGGGAAATAAAGGTTTGCAACCTCAGGCAGTTGGGTCCTTTGGAGGGCGTTTGGTTGCTTCCTAACACTAATTGCAGGCTCAAGAAAGGGAATTTATGGTGAAGGCCAAGGCGGCTTGTTTATAATTTATGAAGTTTTAAATGGTTGTGCCGCGGGCCCGGCTCTCGCCCGGGCGGGTGGCCGCGTGGGAGAGCGCTCTTCAGGACTCGCTGCCGCCCCCACCCGTGCCAGAGCAACCTAGTGTGCCCATCACATGACTCGCACCAGTGACAGGAACGGATTGGAGCCACTCTCAGAAGTCTCCGGAACCTCCAGAGGTGGGGAAAAGCCACAGATTCGATCCTAGCCGCCCCACCCCCCACATCCCCTGGAAAGGAAGGCCTGGGGGAGCTGCGGCTGCTCTGCTCGGAGAGGGAGCCCCCAGCCCGGCACTTCTTGGTGCCTGAGTGTGAGAGGAAGCTGATGTCAGCCTGGCGAGACACCGTTTAAAGTCTAATCCATGAAACCCTAAGCCACAGATGACACTTGGGGCTTTGCAGACACCCGCAGACTCAGCAGATACTAGTGCGGTAACACACCGCGCTGGAAAACGCCGGGAGCCATGATGCATTATGTATTTTTATTATTATTTATGGTAGGAAGAGGAGATGAGGAAAAACTGGGCTGAATCTGAACAGCCTGACGATTCATCTATTTAATATTTAGCCAGTTAAGAAAGGTGGTTGTAATCTTTGCAAGGCAACAAGATCTTTGCTTTCCCTAATAGCTTAAAAATAACTTTGTACAAGACAACTAGAAATCTTGCCTATGGATGCAAATTTCATAGAAAACAATGTTAAGCCTTGAAAGTGGGTAAAATATGTCTTCAATTGAAGTCATTTATTCTGTCGATACACTTCTACAACATATATACTTTTAACCTGCTCAGATAAAGTGAAATTTAGCAAAATATCCCCTCCTGCCCCCAATCTAACATGCCATTTTAAAAACAGCACAAAAGAACAAGGAAACTGAATGTTACTTTGAGCTATCATTAGTGAAACACAAACATCAAATAAAAACAGTTGTTGTTCCACCAGAAGATAAGTTAAATTATTTCCACACAATAGGAATTTCACCTCTTGTCACTGAGGATGTAGTAGGAGTTGCATTATTTGTCAAACCAAATAAAGATGCGTGGGCTGACTTTGCTGAAATACAAAAGAATTGAAACTTATTTGAAGGCGTTTTCAAGTGTCCCCTCCCACAGAAGCGATTGTAAGTTGTCCGCTCCTAGCTAGAGCCACACTAATATTTACAAAATGGTTATAAATCTTTGAAGACATTTTTGCCCATTTTGTACAAAGAAACAGGAGTAAACGGTGTTTTTATACGTGTTATGTTCCATTAGTGAAACATTTATTACTTTACATCATGAAGATCATTTGTTTTCTTTAGAAATGAACTACCCACCACTACAAAGGAAAACTTCATGACAGCATTTCCTAGAGAAAAAGCTTAGGTGCCTGTCTCCAAATGATCATTTCTTTTTCTGAAACTTAGCTCTTCATAGCTCAATTCTTATGAATTCTTTTGTGTCTTTTCTTTGATTGTCAGTTTTCTTTCAAAGTTTTTTTATTGATTCAGAGAAATGAGCTCTGGCCTCTTTAATGTAGCAGTCGATTGTGTCTATAGAGAGGGTGATAAAAATGGCCAGGCAGGCGCTGCTGTGGCAAAGCCCTGTTTGACTGTCTCACACAGGACATTTCGAGGTTTGCACCCTCAGACCCCCCCGCCCAATTTCAGTAGCTGGAATATAAGCAAGTATCATTCCCAAAATCAATTTATATACTAGATTCCATATAAATAAATAGTGTTTGTCAAAGGGTCAGGCTTTTTCTTGGCCTTCTACTGGGATTGTTCAAAAGATAAAGGCAGAGTGATCTGCTTGCAAGTGTGTGTGATTAACACAGATAGACTTCCAACTGAGACATTTTTTTATTCTAAATATTTGTTCAAATAGTACCAGACAATTTGAAATCAATAAACTGTGTCAAGTGGCAAGGGCTGCAGCTGTTGAGAAATGAATAAGGTGTGTCGTGCCGTACCACCGGGCTGCTTGACTGTACGACCATGAAGGACAATTTGTGGTCTTAATCCTTTACATTAACTACAAACACCAGCCACGGTTACAACTGTTCAAAACTACTCTCAACTAGTTAAGACCAGGGGGACTAAAAAGGTGAAATGTGGCCCCCAAGGCCTGGGAGCACGTTCCTAAGATCGGCTGGAGAATTCTACAAATATACACATAAATACATTAAGAGGAGGATAAATAATCAGGGAAACGAAATGAATCGCTTCAAATAATAAATACAGATCATTTAGTCCAGTGCAATCCTTACGGGACTGGAAGAAGCATATAAATTAAGATCTCCGAAACTAAGCTAGATGCGGGCCAGGCCCAGGTCTCTCCCACTCTGGTCCTTCCGCAGGGCGCACTGCCGACGACGGGTCTCAGACTTACCTTCGGGACACCATTACCAGACTAGAGTCCCTCGATCCGCAGTACATGGCACTGTCAGGCTTGCAGGGGAGGATCCTTGCGGCTGATTTATGGCGAGTCACCCGTAGGAGGACGCGCAAGGAGGGGAGGCTCCATAGCCTCTGCCTCTGCCGCTGGAGGAGACCTAGGAATCGGGCCAGACCAGAGCCAGGGAGGAGGTCCCCGAGCTGCCCCGCGGGCCCTGCCCGCCACCCCCACCACCAAAGCAAAAGAGGTATTTACGCCGCCGCAAGTTCGGCCTGCGGCGACCGCTACAGGTGTGTCAGTTTGGGGGCCTCGGGCAGGCGTCCCTGAGACGAGTGGTGGGCCGAAAGATCTGTGTAGGTGGGATGAGGGTCGCATGGTCCGTGGTGGTGGTTGCCAGGAATTTGCGCAGCACAACTGTAGTCCACGCTGGCCGAAGATGGGTGCGAGAGGTGGCCCAGGTTGAAGACGGGCCCGGAAGCTGGCGCCATGGAGTCGACGAAGTTGCCACCCACGTACACCGGGCTGCCCTGCAGGTTGGCGCTGGCGAAGCCGCCTCCATTGCTCGCCATGGGGTGGGGCTCGAACTCGGGCGCCGCGTAGCGCTTCTGCTGTGGCAGGCAGCTGCTGAGCGGCGCCGTGTAGGCGGCCAGGCCGTACATATTGGGCTGCGATTTGGTGAAAGCCGGCGGCGAGGGTGCGTCGTAGGCCAGGCCTGGCACGGGGGGCAGCTGCCCAGAGTAGGCCACGTGGCCAGCGGCGCCGCCGAGCGGCGGGCTGCGCTCAGGGGATTGGCCGGCTGGCGAGTGCAGGATGCCCTTGGCCTTCTGGTCCTTCTTGTACTTCATGCGCCTGTTCTGGAACCAGATCTTGATCTGGCGCTCCGTGAGATTCAGCAGGTTGGCCATCTCCACGCGGCGCGGCCGGCACAAGTAGCGGTTGAAGTGGAATTCCTTTTCCAACTCCACCAGCTGCGCACTGGTGTATGCCGTGCGCACCCGTTTGGACGCCGGGCCTGGCGGGCTCTTGTCCTCGCAGCTCTCTCCTAGGCAGGGAGGGAGAGAGAGGGAGCGCTGAGGGAGGGGGTGGAGACCCCCAGGAATGAAGAGGGGTGCTTCCCTGGCTCTACTGGCCTCCACTCTTCCCTCGCCTCCGACCCTGGCAGTGTGGGAAAGGGGCATTCCAGAGGTGAGAGTCCAAGTGAAAACTGGCACCCCCACCCCGGTCTGCCTATCAGCTGCACGTGAAACCTGCATCTGCCTTCTGAAGTCTTATTCTTTCCGCTCTCCCTGCCCCCTACATCTCAGCCCATCATCTCATCTCAACCCCAAGGCCATGAAGGACTTTCTAATGAGAGACAAGGAGCAGCTGGTGATGCCTCGCTCTAAAAAAGAAGGACCAGGCTTCTCTCGGAACACTCCTCCCAGCCTCTGCTGCTGAGGGTGTGAGCGGCTCACCGGTTTAGGGGTTGGCCCCTGGGCAATGCACCTACCCAGCAAAGAAAGGGCATGGGGATCTTACACCCTCCTCCAGCCCGGCTGCACCCAGAGGTGGGGTGGTGATAAACCCAAAAATATTGTCTTGGTGTTTCCGGGGTTCCAAGGCCAGGCTGAAAGCATTTTGAGTGTGGCAGTGCTGGTGTAGTGGCCTCAACCCAGGCTTCCACCACCCCTGCCACCTCTCAGCTGCTTGTCCACTCCCTCACTGGGAAGACAAATGGATTTCTCCTGGGAGGGAGGGCCTGAGCCCGAGCTGAGGAGGGAGGGGGAGAAGGAGCTGGCAGGCAGGAAGACACTCTCCCCCTAGGAGCAGCAGCCCCAGCGAGCTGCAGGCCAACCAGAGACTGGATAACAAGCCACATCCCAAGCCTCAAAGTAGCCCTGGACCTCGAAGCATGTTCATCTATCTGAAAATAAACTGCAGCAGAGAACATAAGGCCAAAAAAGGAACCAAGCAATCAGAGAAGACAGAGGAGCAGGTGTCAGCTCCTGGTGATTCCCATCTTCTTCCATGTGCCCTAGATGGACCTAGAGAAGATCTGCTCAACCCGAGGGTCTCCTCCTACGCAGAGAGAAAGCCCAGGATGCTCCTTTTCCCCAGAACTTCCTCTCCATCTGCAATATGCACCTTCCTCTCAAGCATTTGCTGACTGGGTGAAAAGGGCTGAGATGGGCAAGTAGTTTCATGATTATGCCTGATAGGCCCTGGAATCAGACTGGTTGCATTCAAATCCACTACCTTGCAGTTTTGTCAACTGGGTCAAGTTGCATATTCTCTCTAATAGTTTCCTTATCTATAAAATGAGGCTGTCTTACATACCTACCTTAAAGTGATCTTTGAAAAATTAGATAATGCTTGTAAATTACTTAGTGCGATTCTTCACAGGGCACTCCAAGACTGTAGTTTTTATTGATTCATATGATATGGGTTATATAACCACCTGCACTTGAGATATCTGTCTCCAAATTTTGTTCCTTTTCTTTCTCCCTTTTCCTATTTTCTTTTTTAAAGACAGGGTCTCACTATGTTGCCTGAACTGGCTGGCCTTGAACTTCTGGACTCAAGCATTCCTCCTGCCTCAGCCTCCCCAGTATACCACTGTGCCTAACTCTGTGTTCATTGTCTGAGGGCTGTTGGGTTGAGGAGTGAGCTGAGTCATAACCAGCAGCCCAGGAAAGCAGATAACACATTAATATAGTGAAGAACTTTCTATTAATAAACATGAGATCTGTTCATCAATGACACCAGTAGCCTGGAATGGAAGTGAGCACCATATTCCCACAAGGCTAAGACTCCAATCAAAGACAATAAAAAGGAAGGATATTTCTGCACGAGTAGGAGTCTGGACAAGTCTTCCAAGGTTGCTCTTAGGTCCCTGAGTCTCTTGGTTCCTGGGTGACTGGGGCTTCCTGGGGCCAGTCTATAGGAAACTTGGTCCAGGAGTGACCCCCTCCCTCAGACAGCTACCTGCAGTGGCACAGCTGTTCTTCTGCTTGGAGTTCTGTCGGGACTCTTTCATCCAGGGGAAGATCTGCTTGCTGATGGTAGCTGAGGAGTTGGATGCATTGGGCCCACCCTTGGCCTTCTTGGCGGGCACTCCACCTCCAGGATTGGTGGGTGAGGATGGGGGCAGGGTGGGTGGTGGAGGAGGGGGTTGTGGTGGCTGCTGCTCTGAGTTCAGACCAGGAGGCTGGCTGCCACCACCCCCACCCTGGCCGTTCCCAGTGCCAGGTCTCATGCAACTGCCATTGAGTTCAGCCCCCTTGTGGGCTGGGGCTCGCAGAGGTGCAGAGCTCTGGATGGAGCAGGCAGAACCTGGGTAATCAGTGTCCAGGGAGTTGGCGGTAGCAGGGGGTGGGTAGGGCTGATGAGGGGTACCATAGCCATAAGTGTCAGTGGCTTTGCTGTAGCTATAGCCTCCGAAGAGTCCTGGGTTTTCATAGTATGCAGCCTTCTGCATTGTGCACTCAGGAAGTTCCAGGGCCTGCTGACCCTGCTCAAATAACATTGACTACCACTGTGTCCTTCACCACCACTTCCAGTGTCTGCGAAATCCTGAGAGAGCTGGGCCAGCCCCCAGGCTCCAGGTGACCTGCCAGGAAGAAAAGTGAGAGGCCCCAGAGGGACTGTCATTGGCAAGACCAGTCAATGTAGAAGGACTAGCCCAGGCTCTCTGCTTCCCACCCACCTCCTGGTGGGGAGAGATGCCTAAGGTTCTGGATCTGGGGTTTTACAGAATTCAACTTATTTGAACCCTTGGAACAGTCAGAAAGAATTTCTCCTAAGTATAAGAAAAGACCTTACCTTCTCTGTAGCTCAACTCTACCATATGGAAGGGGCTTTCTCCTACCCACCCCCATCAATTTTCTTTCTCCAAAGTTGTCAATTTAGCTTTTGAACCTGCAGGAAAAAGCACTTATGGCCTCATACATTTTCCTGGCTCATTCTTCCCCTAAATTGGGATGTTATTACAGGCAAGGACTGTCTTATTCATCTGTATATTCCCAACATCCATTACAATGCCCTGCATGTAGCAAATGCAATAAATGCTTGCTAAATAAATTAATTACTGGATTAATCTTTGGGTAATCCCAGTGTTTTTGTTTGTTTGGCACTGGAAATAGAACTCAAGACCTTGTGCATGCTAAACAGATACTCTTATCACTGAGATATAGCCCTAGCCCATAATTCCAGTATTTTAACTGGCCAGAGGAAGTAGTATAACACTCAGAACCGCCAGAGCTCCCAAAATGAAAGTTTCTCCCCCACCTGATTTCACAATCACAGCATCTTTCCTGGAGACCCAGATAGCCACTTTTTGAAGACAGGGTAAAAATCCGCCCAGTTAGTTCTGTGGGTCAGCACTGTGAAATCTACGATGTAGAAAACTAGGAGATAAAAACCAAGGAGAGGACTTAAAAACCCCAGACTTATTTTGCTGCTAAAAATGTTTTTCCTTCTGTCTACATTTCTCTACAGCCTTTACTTTCTCCCTTCATTCTTTTTAAAGGTATGCACTGGAAATGGGTGAAGACTTACAGTTTGAAATTCATGCAGTATAAGTGAATGGAGAATTTTTACATTATAACTTTATCATTTTTACCCTGGATCTATTACATAAATAGATCTCTCTATTATTGACCTCTCTGCATCACGTCTTCCACCCCACCTCCCACCCCACTCAGCCAATGAGAGAATCTCTCTTGACATGATGAATGGACCTAGAATTAGAAAAAGAAGCTCAGAAAAATTCTACCCCTTTTGTATCCTCTGATTCCTGATGGGAGTTCTTCTCAACCTCCCTCCCTTCTTCTTCTGAAAGGCTCCTAAGGAGTTAAAGTATAACTAATACCATTCAATCACTTTTGTCTGGTTGATAAAGAAAACTTACAGGTCAGCTCCTTGGTCTTAATTCTTGATCTCATCTGTCAGGAAACTTTCCTTTCCAGAATCTCTCCCTAGCTTGATGTCCACTGTGGTCATCATGATGGACCATATTATGTGGACAGTTTATGTGTAGGTAACAAAATCACTTCTCCATGCACCCACTTTTCTTTTTTTTGTTGTTGTTGTTTTTTTGGTACCAGGGATCGAACAGCTTTTCTAACAACTTTAACCAAAGGGCCAAACCAATTTATAAAATTCTTCAAATTAGCTTTGTTTGGTACTATTGTTGCCCATTTTGTTTTAGAATACAAATGAATATGCCATTTATCTTGAGAAGAGATGGGTCTTTAAAGGAGACTATAATACTAAGATATTATGTTGTGGGAATTGTTTCAATTGGTCTTCATAAATGTGTGCAGCTAGGATCTTTACCTAAGCTCTAGACCAGTTCTTTCAATTAATTTTCTGTATCAGTTTCTGACTGTTAAAATTATGGAATATGAAATGGACAGCTAAATTTTCATCCTTTGACTAATATTTACATGTGTTTGCCCCCAGGCCAAAGGACCTGCCACTCTGGGTTATTTAAGTTTCAGTGATTTTCTGGGATCCTGTGTTGAGCCCTAAGCCTCTGCACGTCTAAATGTTAACCGTAGACACCAGAACTTGCTACTGCTTCTGTCACTCCATCAACAACTGTGGAATCAAAACATCTTCCGGCCTCCCAAATTGATCAAGTTTATCTTGATAGGGGGACTGGTCACATTAAGAGATTCTTTATAAAATGAACAGGCTTATGGGACAGATGATTTCACACACACACATATACACACACACACACACTGTAGCACTTTCCTAGAAAAAGCTGTGTGGACTTCAAAGGTTGTACACATTCGAAGTAGTGTCCCATGTAATCAATCTGTTCTCCCGACTGCAATGTCTTAAGGAATTTTTAGGCCTACTTAATGATGATCCACTATCTTAGTATCCATTTCCCCAAAACCAAAGGCAGCAGCTTAATTGTCCTCAAAAAGCATGGCAGGAACACAGTGCCCCTAAGAAGCCCCTTCTCCTAAAAGCAAAAGCTAAGAATATTATTGTGAAACTTTTTTTAAAAGGGGCTTCTTTCCAGAAATCCCTACTCCTTGTGAACTCTGCTTGAACCTAAAAAGCAGGAACGGGTCATAAATCACTTGGACAATGGTCAACTGTTCAGTGGCTCATCTTTTCGCTCACCACCCACCCACCCAGGCTTTCTTTTCTCACCCTTTGGTACCTTTGCTCATTTGGGTTCTAAGACCCAAATGCCTTGGGGTGAAGGTGAGCCCTTAGCAGGGGAGGGGTGGTAGAGAGGGTGCGGCCCCTCCATCTTCGGTGGTCCTTTCCTCTGCTTCCTCCTCCTGTCCAACCCTTACTCCAGGGAGTGGGATCCTGCAGTGCAGCTACCCCAATCCCTTCCCGCATCATCCCCTACCCCTCTGGGGCAAGGGACACCAAATGGGTCTGGCTAGTCCTTTATCCAAATCCCTAAGTCCAAGTCAGCTCGGAGACCTAACCGCTGGCCCCGAAGAGGGAGCCAAAAGGTCTCCAGCCATAAGGAAGGAGTCCTCCGAGCCATCACCGCCTGCTTCCGCGCTTCCTGGCGGTGCTAGCCAGCCGCGCCTTCTGAAGCAGCCAAGCCCCGATACTTGCTCACTGCACTTAATTCTGCCCAGGATCAATACCTAATATGATACCGAATAAATAAAAGGGGCTCACAGCGGCCAGGGGACGGGGTTATTAAGCAGCTGGAGCTCTCACGGTGCATATCAATGCACCTGTCATTGTGGTTTGTAACAAAATTTATGACTGCGACCATGGCGGCAGTAAACGCTTCAGTAAGGAATGAAAAGAAAAACACTTCCCAAGGCCCGGCACTTTTCAGAAGTGGAAAGCAGGCTCCGCGTAGGAGGCAGCGCAGCAAAAGAATTCCCTACTCCGCACTTTTCCCCCACTGGCGCACCCCATGAGCAGCGGGATTATATAGAGCGGCACCGGTCTCTGCGAGCAGCTCTGCTCGGCAGCCTAACGCAGGACAGGAGACGCAGCTTCACCCGAGGACTGAAGACCCGCTGCCCGCCTGGGCCTCGGACCCTGGGAAGGCTCCAAGGACACGCAGAGGCCCGCGGTGGCCGTGGAAAGGCGGGTGGGGGGGTTGCTTGCAAAGGGAAGAGGCGACAGTCTCTCGCTGTGCCTAACACTACAATTATAGTAAATCATGGATGGGTACTGTCGCCGCCGTGCAAGTTGAAAGATAAGGGGAAGGCGATTGCGCGCTGGTTTCACCAGTTTCTCTAAAGAATTTCTAAGGTTCCACTGTTGGCCTCTGCTCTTCTTGCTTTGCCTAAACCAGGGCCGCAGAAGCCCACGGATGTCTTTTTCGTGGCCAAGAATCTCCCTGGGCATCAACGACTCTCCTCTCCCTGATGTCTTTGCTACTTCAGGTTTTGGAAAGTACTCTTTTTTCGAGTTTGCTTCTGAGAGGGTTTATTTACATCTTGCCCCATTTCCCTTGTCTTTCAGCCTGAGCCTCTTTGCCCATGTGGGAAGCTGTGGATGTGCATTTAAATCACTCTTATTTAGCCCAGATAACTCAATACTGTAATACACCCTGCATTTAAGGCACTGGGCTCACCCCCATTAAAGCACCATAAATTTGAAGACCGATGATCGGTTATCATGTAACAGGCAGCAGTTCACACTGAGGTGATCCACTTCAAAGCTGCCCTTTGTTTTATGTCTTGATGTATGAATCCCCGAGATGGCTACCTTGAGTTGCAGGAAAAATGGAAACGTACTTGAAATTATTTTTAAAAATCACCCCACTCACCACAATTTTTGTATGTGTGTTTTCTTGAATATTGTCTCTAATTCTTTTTGTAGGCTCTTCGGTCTCTTTTGATTACTCTGTGGAGGCGGATCTGGAACAAAACGGAAAACTCAATAGCAGCCGATTCTTTTCTTACAACACGTCGAGGAGAAGCCTTACCCCCTTTAAGGGTGTCTTAACCAATGTGACTGTTGTATAGGTGTCCACAGCCATTCCAGATGCCTTCTCCCCAGCAGAAAGAAGAATCGCTGGCTCCTAGGGAGCCAGAGGCTTTGAACACCAAAATCTTTGACAGGATGGGGGAGAGCATGGACCCGAGCAGAGTGCTGGGTCGCTGGCCAGTGCGTAAGCCAAGAGGTCCAGAGGTCTAGGGAAAGCAACCCGCTTTCCTCCTACCCCAAACAAGCTCCAAATGCTCCTGGTCCCAAGCCCAGACTGTGTAGAATTGAGGTGGGAGAGAGGCTACAGTTTAGGGCAACAAGAAAGGGGGGTGGATGCACTTGGCAGGATTCTAGTCCCAGGCTACACAGCAAAGAGGGTGCTGGTTTGCACATATCTTTATCTTAGATGATTTCCTCAAGTTTATTCAAATAAGTGGCAGCCATACTCTTGGCATGAGCTGGCCACTCCTGTGTCAGGACTAGGCTGCAAGCCACCTAAGAAACAAGCATGCTTTCCACCTCCGCCGGCAAACACAGACCAAGCTGCCCACCATTTCGGCTGCTCGGCTGGGGTTAGCTCCTGATCAGGTGGAAGGAGAGAGACACAGTCTCCCTCTTGCATCTACCCTATGTAATTTGTCGACTCAGTAGTTTGCAAACACTAAATTGCACCCAGCAAAGCCCCACACAAAGCGTTCCCTTTGCTTCTAAAGACCAGAGCGAGCAGCGTAAGCCTTTGAAGTGACCTTTGGCTCGCGCCGCAATAACTCACCCCTTAATGAACACCCAACGGAAGCGCCTCAGAGAGATCGCAGCCCGGTAGGGCTCCTAACTTCGCGCCCCAGCTTCAGCTTCCCAGACGACCTGGGCCCAGGGGGCCTTGCTACTCGACAGCTCTCCGCCCCATCCCCCAGCCGGCTCCCTACCCTGCAGCTCGGTTGGGACCAGCCGGAGGGCGACAGAGGCACAAGGTAACAGGGCTCTCAAGCTGGCTGTCCGAAGCTGCTTAGTATAATACATTCGCGTGGGCAGATGTCAACTTTCGCCTCTTGATTTTTATTTATTTTTGGAAAAGGGTTCTTTAGAAGTAGGAGAGATCCCTTAGAAGAAGAGTTAAATTGGGAGGCCACCTAGGGCCGAGATCCCCCCCAGTGCCTCTAGCTAAATTTTGTTTCCAGCCTCGGAAGAACAGGGGTAAGTTTGTGTCTGGATGTTTTGGGGTGCTTGAAGCGGTGCGCTCTGAGCTATGGGCACTGGAGGCGTGGGAAGGGGAAAAGAAAAAGGACTCCAAGTTGGCCAAAGTTATGCCACCGGAAGAACCCCCCAGTGCCTTCTCACACAGGCCCCACCACTCAGCAGTAGCCCAACTTTGGCCTCTTGTGTATCCCAGTTCACAGGCTTTAACTTTGGCGGCTCTGGTGTAATATTCTTTCTACAGCCAGAAACTGGGGGAGCAGGAGGGAGCCCTGTCTGGGAACTGTCAACTAAGAGCTGGTTCCAGGGAGCCCCTGGCTCCATACCCCACCCATACCAGCACCCCTGGAAAACTCTTTAAGATAGGGCCAGCTTGGAGCCTCGGTGGGGATTATTGAAATTTTCAGGGAAGTTATAAGTGAGTGCTCCATGGGGCCAAATGAAATGCTGCTCGAAGTAATTGGATTCAGCTGACTAAGCTGGCAGGCGCGCAGCTCCAAGGCAGTGAGTGAAGAAAAATGTCCACAGACTTTAAGTTCTGATGGAGCCGAGCTCAGGCAATTGACAAAACAACTTTACTGCTCTCCTTTGATGGCAAGGCCTCTGGAAATTAGCCCACCTCCCACTGGGGCCTGTCCCAACAGAAGCTTAGGGAGTGTTCCTTGCTTTCTGAGGTCCTTCTCCACGGAGGTCCAGTTGGGTCCACCCCAAGAGCCTCCAAGAGCGTGGACTCCCTCAGGCTTATGGAGCCACTCACTCTGGCCTTGGCAGGGAAACAGCCAGGATAGTTTGTCCTCTTCTTCCCCAGCCAGGAGCCCAGGAGAACACGTAAACAAAAGGATAGGTGGGATGTGGGACCAATATATGATTTAGCTTTCACTCAGGATTCTTTGGGTGAGAGGGACCCAGAAACATTAAACATTTCCTCTGCAAAACCTCTTTTTTTTTTTTAATTGCAGCAAAACCCTAGATTGGTGAGAAGTGCAGAGAAGTCTCCCAAACACTTTAGGGTAGTTTAGGGGTTCTTTTGAATTTGAGGTGGGGAGATCTGTAGCATTTTAACTCCCAAGGAAAACATAACAAGTCAGCAGCAAGAGGTAAAGGCCGAGTGTGTGGAGATGGCTCCCAGCACAATGCAAAGAGTTGGCTGGCCACCGAGTTTATTTTAAATACATATAAATCAACATGCCTGTACCCAGCCCAGCAGCCCAAGACACAAAATTAATATGATGTTCCATCTTATTTTGGCAGTGACAGTGTAAAAAAAAGTTTTTTTTATTCATTTCATTTTCAGCCCATTCACATAACTGCACATTTATCCTGAAAATACCAACTCCAACCTCCAATCCCCTCACTGGACTCCTCCTCAAACTGCCACCACCACCCGCAATCCTGCCACCAGCCACCCTCCAAGCCTGGCAAGGCAGTGTTCTCCTAACCTTTTGGTAGGCGGGGAGCGTCCCCACAAAGTGCACACCTCGTTGCGATTAATCACAGTCTTCCTCGATGTATATGTAGAAGTGTATCTAAGTCTACGCGGACTGCCTCACCAATTGGCAATAATCAAGATCACAGATTACACAAAATAAATCATATTTACTATCCCACTCAGGGCAACAAGCAGCACCGTGCCCAAAGATTTCCATTTTGTCATGCAATTGCTTACCTGGATCCCAATTTATCATAAACCTGGTGTCCTCGGCCTCGGAGTGGGCGCCGGTGGGGGGCAGAGCTAGCCTTCCCCCTTTGTCTGCAGACAACACCGTCCCAACCCTGGTCTTGCGCGCTCGCAGACGCGGCCATATACCCGAGCACACGGAATTCCCGGTAGAACGGAACCAGGCTGAGGTTCAACTACCAATAAACGCAGGAGGTATGAGTTCGTAGTCCCCGAGCTGGCTTCGCCTGTGCTGCGCGCAGGTCGGTCCGCCCGCCCGCCGGTCCACTCCCAGGCCCACAGTGGCGGCCACTCGCGCCCCCACCCACTCCTGGGTTCCTGCCCAACCCTCCCAGGCCCCCCAGAGCTCGGGGTTTGTTTTTCTTTCGGAACGTGGTCGTTTCTGGATTTGGAGAGAGCCCTGGAAACCCCCTCTTAGTCGGGAAATACAGACGCTGCCTTCAAATGCGAGCATATTTGTTCACGTGACCCCGAGGGAAGATTGTACTGATTGAGGCTGAAACTTTCACGCCATCCAGCCCCGGAGCCCAGCCAGGCCTGGGGGCTGGGAGGAGGGGCGTGGGAGGCGTGGGACCTGGGCATCCTCCTAGGGACAGCCACGGGTGGGTGTGGGAACGAAGGAAAGCCTCTATCCCGCAGCCTGGGACCTACCCAGCCGCAGCCTGGCCGTAGGAAGTGGGATGAGGGCTTGAAGAGTCCCCGCAACGACCTCTGACCCTGGCCAGCCTTCCGCCACACTGGTCAGGGGGTTGGAAATTTTAGAGGCTGCCTCATACTGGCATCTCTGCGAAAGGCTGTGAAAAGGCAGCAATACAGGGTTCCCCTAGATCCCTGGAGAACCTGGTGCTCCGCATCGCATCACCACGGCACAGCATGCACCGCAGTGAGGCACCTTCTCCTTTGCCAGGGAGGATGCCCCAGCTCTCCGTCCCCAGTGAGACAGTTAAACTATAGCACCAGGCAGGCTCTGGCTGAAGATAGGAGCTGCCTGCACCGTCTTAGCCAGTCACCCCACTATTCCTTGGGGCCTTGGCTCGGTCCTAAGGCTCTGCAGGCAAACCTCCATTTCTTAGCCAGAAAAGGAGCCTAGCAGCTGGCCAGGACCCTTTCCAAGCCCTTGCATATCCCACCGGGGTGGGTCCTGGCCTGGAGCCTCCTAGGCACTGAGCTGCTGCCTTGGCAACCTAAATATCTCCAGATCTGTGTGGTGCCAATGGATCTCACAGGCCCAGCGACAGTCAGGGCACAGTTTCCCGCTTCCTGCGGTGCCTCTAGGAAAGCGAGGGGGCATGTGGAACCAGTCCTGGCCAGGCTTACCTGGGGCAACAAGGAAACTTCTATTTGAGAAATCTTAAATCAGGACAGGATCGCAACACTGTGCAAATGGTTGGGTGGAATTCACGGTACCAATTCTGCATATGGGAAGAATGAAGTACACCTGGGCCAGAGGCCAGTCCCCATCTCCTGGCTTGTAGTGTGAGGTCCCACGAACCTCCACCAGCCTGGCCCACACCCCAGAAACCCACACTAGGGAGGCTCTGCACACCAGCTCCACTTCTCAACAGCACCCGCACAAGAGTGGAGGGAGCTGATGCCGTATCACTGTTTGCAAGGTACTACCCAAAACGTGAGCACCGAAAGGAAATGAAGTCCTCCAAATCCTCCCCACTCCAGAGGTGTGGGGAGGTTCTGGAGGGCTCCTCGAAGAAGGCTTGAGTCCCCAGAGCTGTCGCCGCCGAGCCGAGCTCCTTCTTTTGTTCATTTGTCCAGACCAGGACAGAGGCCCACTGATGTCTCTCAGAGCTGGACCATGGGTGCCCCCACGGCACCCTCATCCCAAGACCCCTCCCCCAAACCTCCTGCCTGTGGCCCAGCCTGTGGCCTGAGGCAAGTGTTAATCCCAAGTCGAAGAGCGGGGGGCTGCTTTTCGGGAATTTGTCTCCAGGAAAGGATCTAAGCCTTCTTCAATCGGAGCATATGTTCATAGAGCAATAAACCGGAAAGATTTACAGTCCTTGCCTGGCCCCCAACAGCCTCACACCCTTTCAGGAATTACTTACGATGATTTATCACAACAACCCGGGCAATTGTCACTCTGATAAAATAGCCCCGGCCAGTGGCTGCCAAGCCCAGGCCTCGGGCCGCTGCTGTTGGCTACCGGGTTGCCAGTGGGGCTGCGGAAGCTTTTTGTGGGTTCCTCTCTTGGCCTACTAGGGGATGTCTGGGTGGGTATAAGTGCATAGCGGTGGGAGGAGAGCCCATTCTCATTGAGAAAAATGCAAGCAGCTCAGAGAAAGCGCCTGGAATCTGCACCGGAGTCACTTGCTAAGCACATAAACATTTGTCATCTTTGAATAATTGAATTAATGTGTTATTGTTTGAATGTATAATTCATAACGGAGGAAACTTTGTTTCTGTCCCGACGAGGAAATATACACACACCTAAAAAGAAATGAAAATACACAATCCCAAAACTACCTTCGCAGCCAGACAGCTCGAGGTCGGCGGTATCATCCGCAAAGCTAATGGAGGCCACTCACAGAGACAGAGGGAAAGAGGCAAATAAAAAGACACTCTAGGTCCTCCTGGGCACCTGGGTAGGACCTGCGTGAGCTGGGGAAAGAGGATCTACTGCTACCCCAAGGCCCAGGTCCCTGTCCAGCCAGGGTGTGGATGGGGAAGCAGCAGAGTAGCTTTCTGGACACCGCTGAGTCTAGAAGCGCAGGTAAAAGGGGCTGAAGTGGAGCGATGAAGCCGCAGTTGCCGGGCCTCCCCACCAGACCCCTCTCCCCGAGGCTCCCTGCGCCCACGGACCACCTTGCTTTTGCTTTTATTTTTAGATCTTCAAAAAATAAAAATGGAATAAAAATCCAAAAATAAAATGGAAAGAAGTAGAAACTCTTGGCTGAGATTACAGAAGCAGCAGAGCTTGGGAGGGGAGGGAGGAGAATGAGAGAAGCAACTCGGAAATCATTATCTGTTGGTTAAAACCTGCCTGGGGTAAAATTTCAACTCGATTTTATAGCCTTCTATTATGACGCAAGGAAAAATTTACGACCCTCGTTTGAAAAGAGGGCCAGGGCCTTTTCTCGCCGGTGTAAGAATAGGCGGCAGATGCCCTGACAGCGACCATTGTTCCCGGTAGACACAGGCGACCGGGCAACCTCGGCCCGCGTGCGCCAGGCGTGTCCCCAGCCGGGCCGGTTTTTCACAACTCCTGTTGTCTAGGAGCAGGCTGCTTGCACCGAGCCCCTCACCCCTCGCACCCGAGCCCCTCGCACACCCTCTCATCCTCACGCACACGCCCTCCCTCTCTTTCTCTCTCTCACACTCGGGCGCTCAGTAATTTTTCATAAGTGCAAAGCTTTGCTGAACCAAAGGTCACCATCCAAGCCACTAACAACTTCTCGCTGGCGCGCGGTTCCAAATCGGGAAGCAAAGGGGAACTATTTGTCAGCGACCCTGACAGCTAAGTTCATTAAGGATTTAAATCTGATGAAATAAAAGTCGCCAAAATATTTACCTGCCGGCCGCGCTCCCCGCGCCCGCCGCCGG